TTGAAGTAACTTGTTTTATGGTGTGTCTGCCTCCCGTGTTTAATGTGGTTTTTCCCCTGTCAGTATCGAAGTATGGCACGGATTACAAAGGCAGATACACCTTGCAAGAAATCCTCCCTGTTTCTACTCTTTAGAATCTCAGTTTGCCATGCCAAGGTTCTTGAACCTTGAGTGTGTACTTCACTTATAATGGTGTACATTAATCATTTGTGTATCAGTTTACTGTTTTTCTGTTATAAAATGAAACGGTGATTTATGGCTAATGTTTATAGATAATATAATGTTTATACTACAAAGCAAAGTGCTTGGTTTGAGGTAAGGCTTCTCTCTGCCTTGACCTGATTCTATTCTCCAATGTCTTGAAAGCTGTACTTGGAGATCCGTCATTTGTCCTAAAATAGCCTATGGCCAATGCAAAAGCACAGCGCAATTGCCTTCCATTTTTTTTATGCCTGAGTATCTAAAAAAAAATGCTAGGTATGTATATTAAGGCAACAGTTATAAAGAGGCTTGCAAAAATCATTTTGTACTGTACAATATAAGGACATAACAAATCCAATTAATAGTAACAGTGGTCGTTTCCATATTTATTTATTTAAGCTTATAGCATCACAGTCTGATGACTCTCAACATCTTACAGAGTACATAATATACAAAAATGAAAACATCTATGGTATGATTAAAAATAAATAATATCATAAAAACCCCAAGTACAAAGAACAAAGAAAAAATAAAAAGAGGACACAATGTTTAAATTAAGAGAATGCACTCTTTTTTTAGCATTCCGTTTTTACTATTTTCTTGAAAGCCAGCAGAGAGGGTGTAAGTCTGATCTCTATAAAGAAGACATTCCAGAGCATTGGCATGGTCATAGAAAAGCAATGCCTTCTAGCCTTGGCCTCTCCCTACCTTTTAGTAGTGTGGCCCTACAAGTGTCTCCTTACAGGATCTAGTGGGTCAGGGTGATTCTGATTGGAGCAGGCTGTCCCAAATGCTAAGTCATGAAGAGGCTTATCAGTCAACACCAGTACTTTAAATTTACCCAGAAACCAACCGGCAAACAATACAGGGATTGCAGAATTGGTGTTATGTGTTCCCAATGCCAAGAGTCAGTAAGTACACAGGCTGCTGCATTCTAGACTAGTTGCAGTTTCCAAATAATCTTTAAGGGCAGTCCCGTGTAAGGCACATTGCTGTAGTCCAAGCTAGCGGTAGTGAGGATGTGAGTTACTGTAGCTGGTTCCTCCTAAACCAGGTAAGGTTGTAACTGATGCATCAACTGAAGCTAGACAAAGGCCCTTCTAGCCATCGTCTCCACTTGCTGTTCAAGCAGGAGCTGTGAGTCCAAAAGGATCCCCAAATTGTCAGCATGCTCCTTCATGGGTAGTGTTTGCCCATGCAGAGGTAACACTGGCATTGACAGAGAATTCTGTTGTACAAACAGCAACTCCCTTTTACTTGGGCTCACCTTCAGCCTGTTCTGTGCCATCCGGACTTTTATTGAATTTTACTTTTGTAAAGTATTTTTAACATAGATTTACAATTATT